TGCTTGGCCTAGGATATCACCAAACATGCTTGGCCTAATGATGCACCAATTGTAAAGCTTTCGATGGAACATCAAAAATCGACCATGAGCTCTTGCACTGATGATGGGTAAAATTTTAATTTGGGCGACAAAAACCGAACAGATTGAAAAAACTAATAAAATTTCGTTGATATTCTTTACTCTAACTAAAGTATTACAAATTTTTAATATTCAATTACTAGTCGCAGATCCTACTGAAGACACGATGAATGGGAAAAAAGCTGATATTCTTTCAAATGCAATGAAACAGATTGCTGCTCATGTTTGTTGACATCAGTCGAAAACACTCTGAAGCCAAGCAATTAGAATAAAATAACTGCCACTTATAGTTTTTGAAGTGTCTGAGTTTCTAGAAATTGACAAAACCTTGACACGGTTTTGTCATCTAAGCATAAAATTAACACACGCCGCAAAAACCAGAGCTTATGTGGATGTTGAGGAAATTTCAATAAAAAAATCAAAAATTGTCTGCCTTCTTGTTTGCGAAAGGTAAACCAATCATTGATCGTCAAAAAACACACCCAAAATTTTTATAGGGCGGCTTAACATCATTTGGACCAAGTTAACATCCTCCTCCCCAAAGCCGTTTTGGGGGGAGGATGTTAACTTGATCCCATCATTTAAAGAGTCTCAGGATCATTGATTTTTTTCCCGTCCGCGAGTAAATTTCATGAAACTGAACAAACAAAGTGCGAGGATCAATTCTGATTGAAGAAAAGAAGAAGCTGCGTTTTTGACAAAGAAATCATTGATGTTGAAAATTTTGTCTCAATATAATTCTAGTGATGTAATGAAGCGTTTTGAAAATATTTTCTATGCGGAAAACTTCAATATATTTCGAGTGATGTAATGAAACTTTTTGAAAAACTTTTCGTGGGAGTACTATTTCAAGGAACTGAAAGCTCTCAAACTATCTCATGCAGTTTCATCTGATCGTGTAAATCTACAGCTTATTGATGTTCGATCTGCAGAAAAACATTGTATGACATTTTATGCGTAAATGAATCTTGTAAACTGAAAATTCACACCCTTCTTTACATCATGAAGCAAAGAAACCAGAAGAAGTGGCACTATGATACAACAAAGCAGTAAAATAGTCACCATGGAATCAGAAAATCAAACAAGACTGCTCGTATCAGGGCGAAGCCCTGAATATTCCGACTGCCTTTTAAGGTTTTTGGAGCAGTAATAACATAAAAAAATTAAATGTGATAAAATGAAATGAAACATTTTTTTTTTCTAAAATTTGAAATTTTCTTTGAAAATCATCCCCCCACACGCCATATAAAGTACAAGAGAATACATTTCGCTCCTTGTAACAAATCAATTATGGCAAATAAGCTTCTTTCAACCAATTTGGAACGATTTCTAAGACGGATTAAATCTCCGCTTACTCGTTAATAGCGCGAATTATATCGCGCGTTAATTGTCACAAATTGGCCAAAATGGCAACCTTTACACCCCCATAACTTTACGAAAAATGATCACAGGTGAAATATCTTTTCAAATTTAAGCTCAAAACAACAAAAGGTTTTGAATGATATAAAAAATTCCGTCAAAAATGGCTAGTTAAAAAGTCGAAATTTGTCTGAAGAAAAAAAACCCACCCCGAGCACAAATGTTCCGTTACTTTCGTATCGAAAGTCCGAACAAAAACCCTGAGTGTTTGGCACTTTTTATTGAGTTCAACGGCAACCATCTTTTAATAATTGCTTAGTATGCACTTTCTACGGTTGACAAAATATGCTTTATTGAGGAGTTTGAGAGTAAGTTGGACAAAAAAACCACCATATTTTAAAAAAAAATTCAGTTTTGTTTTTGTTTCCAAAAAAAAGTTTCACTTAATTCTAAAGAAAAATTCCAAAATCAAAATGCATTGAAATTTTAAGTAGACAAATTTACAATGACATTTACAATTTATTTATTTAAATAATTAAACAGATCTAGTTTTTTGTAAACAATTTGAGTTCAGAGAAAAAAACCGGATTTAACAATTTGTAATCTATGATAACGGGACAATTTAGAATCAGTTCTAATAAAACGTTGCGTTGTGTTTTTTTTTGACAGATGAATTGCATCTGAGTTTTTATCATCATATTGTGCTGTTCAAGTTAGTACCGCTATAAGACATGATACCTCAGAGTCTGTCTATTTGATAGATTTTAACGACTTGAGATGAATAACGGAACAATTGACGGGCTATTGTTTAATTTGAGTGTTCCGGGATTCCATGTTGATTCCAGTCATGTTCCTTGATCACAATAAATAAATGCATTTTGGCCCGAAAGTCTGCAATACTTCTCGCTGTAGATGATATTAATAAAAATGCTAGCAATCCTACATGGAGTCTTGTTTTTTAGGTTGGTGAGCTTCTGCTTGGTTAGTCTCGAATAAAGTATTACTTAAAACAAAGAATTATCAGTTAAGAAATTTAAGGCAAATACAATAACAATTAGGAAATTTCAGGTCGTAGTATTGTTCTAATTAATATGCTTTTTCTAATGAAGAATCTTGATAATAAATAAGTTCTGCTGTGGACAAAAATACACATTTTACCTATCCGGTTGCAAAATTCAATTTAAAAAAATGTTGCGATGTTATTTCCAAATACGGATATTTTATAGCCCGAGCGGTATTAATTAAGCAAATACAAACCCATAAAACAATACCGTCTACTTTTTTTGCGGCTGTACATTTTACTGGATTTGAATGCTATTTGGTTTAATTTTGACAACATATCATTTCAAGATTCTATAATTTTGACTACATTTTAGATTATTTTCAATTTTATGAGATTTTGTCGGTCGCTGGACTGTTAGTCAATGATTGACTCAAAATTTACTTGCAGCGATTCAGCAATGTGATTTCCAGAATTGTCTTGAATCGAATTCTGTCTTAATTATGTTAACATATAATCAGATAATCAGATTATCTTCATTGTAAGCTTCAAAAACAGTCAAAAATTTTTGTCAAAATATATAATTTTTTTGTGGTTGAATATCATATTCAATCGGTAATTTTTATGAAGTTTCTTTGCTCTCGTTGCACTGTCAAAAAAATTTATGTTTTTTTTTGTCGTATATAAAGCTTGGGTACACTTCTTCTGAAAAAAATTCGAGCCAAAAGTACCAAATACCAAAAAAGTTTTTAAAAAAAATGAACTTCTGCCACAAAACTATAAAAGTTCGAAGTTGAAAAGTTTTCGACCGAGCAAAAAAAATTTAATAAGCAAAAAGAAAATTTTTTCTTAACCTTAATACATATATCAATTTTGCTGTTTCTTTCGACGAAAATACTAATTTATGCATTCACAAAAAAGTTAACTCAAATCGATTGTTTGTGCTGACTTCTAGTTTGGTTTCAAGTTATCTGTTAGTGTTCAATCTGAGACGCAGGTCGCGCTCATCTCAAACGTAACTGATAAATTTCACTCACTTAATAATCAAGATCATAATTTGTTTCTTTTCATTATCATGATTGTTTTTTTTGCTCCCGGGTTGAGCTTACATTAAAAACTAGCGATAAAAAAGTAAAAAAAAATGATGTCCATTGCCTCAATTGCAAATTTTATTGATAAACTATTGCTAATTTGGCTTGTTTTTAGCGATGAAACAGCAATAAAAAAACCTATCACCTATCAAAATGAGCAAAAGTAGTTTTCTAACAGGGATTCGCTCCCCCAACCTTCATCTTTGTAAAAATGTCTGCTACCTCTACGCTATCAATCTTTAGGTATACTCAACTTGAAGGGCTTATCAAGTAAAATTCCCTGTTGAAAACTTCTAGAATGAGTTAAAATTTCTTAAGTTTTAGCGATGATTTTCTACGGAACCATTACTGAAAAAGCTCTGAAATATCGCAAATTTAGCTATGTAAAAAAAACTGAATTATAGATGAATCAGCGCTGGAAAATAGAAATCACTGGGAGGTACAACTATGATAGAGCGGTCCCACGAAAAAACAATTATGATAGACGGGTCCCGCATGCATTTCGCATGGTATAATTTTGACAACTAATTGGTGTATAAATTATTAAATTCAAAAATTTTGCGAAATATGTTGAGTCGGAAGTTTTTCAGATTCATAATTGTAATAAATTCATTGTTTATATCAAGAAATTTGCTCGCTTTTGTTTATTTTACTGTTCAACAAACCTAATTGGGTTATCTTTTTTGTCATCAAAACTCAAATCTGGCGTTTTTTTCGAACTTTTCTCTTTCAAATGGTGAGGGCGAAACTTTACGAAGTAACAAAACTTGAAATTTGTTTGACTACGACATCTTTCTGAATCATAATTATTCAAAAATTTGGGACCTCTAGGTGTCTTATTTTCAAGGGACTTGGTTATTTTCAAGGGACCACTCTATCATAGAAGTACCCACTGGGATATTACAAAAAAGCGATAATTAACGGTGGGACTTCAACCCTGGCTTTTATCAACGTTTAATCCATGTTTTTACGATTTTTATTATGACAAAAATATATATGATTTCAATTATAATTTTCATATCTGTGTTGGTTGTTATCAGAATAGTGATCATTATTACTGCTGTTATTCGTTTATCATAGTTTTTATCGATACTAATCCTACTAGATACTAAGTTTGAAGGTAATGGGCGCTACATTGAGGCATTTATTTGTCCGAACTGTGTTCCAGAAATACCATTAAATGAAGTTATGGACATGATTTTTAACAATTCTCAGACGACAAAAATTTCAGCAAAAAAAGATCGGTTAAGGGATCTTAGTCAGCTTGGAAATTTTTTGGTTGACCTGATTGCTTGTTAATATCTTTGATTTTTTGATAAAAAAAACATCCCCTTGCAACAACTTCGCTCAGTATGAATGTTTATAACGAATGTTTATGAAAACGATTGACAATTGAAGAAGCGAATTGTATAAAATCAGTAAATTAAGAAAATGTTTACTTTAAAATAGTGTCTTTAAAGCGACTACACAACTTGTTATGTTCAAACTACGTCTTTGATTTTTCTAAAAATGTTGAGTACTGAGAAGTCAGAAGTGGCCACCTCTGTGTGTTCCCTATTCAGACTCAGTTGGGGGAGGGAGGTGCTGTGTTTGACCCCCCGACTGCTGTTGTTGTTTCCGTCGTCCCGCATCAGATTCCGAACATCTCTCGGTTTCACAATAGGTAGTGCAGTTAGTGTTTTGTACCTAGAAATGGAAGTGTATAACTTTATGGAAAATGATTTTCTCTAAAAAGGATTTTAAAATTATGATTCATTATTGTCACCTTGGACAACGAGTATTTTGTACAATTACAGGTAATGATTTCAAATTAGCATGTTTTTAGGTAGCGAAGAACGTCTACCTCGGTTTTATTGTGTCGAAAGTTTAAATGGCACAACTTCGTTGGAGTTTTTTTGACGAGTAAAAACTCATTGGCAATCAAAAACTTTGATTTAGTTCTCAAAAAGGAAATTAATTTCCGCTGTTGACAATTACCGCGAAAAAAAAACAACAATAATAATTGTAGAACTAATAATTTCTGAGCCACAAATTTTACAGATTAAAACTAGCCTCGTGGCAGGATCAATTGAGAAAGCGCCATCGAATGACCTGACGGCACTGGACTGCAGGTTCTTCAGGAATAAATAGAGCGACTCCTGAAGAGCTAAGGACAACAGCGGCTGCTGCGGAATGGTCGAGTAAATTTTCAGAACCCAGGCGGCGTCGAACACACTCATAAACCCTTTGGCCAACCCGGACCCTGTTTTCCAAAAAGGGTGGATCAAACTGTCCCCCACCAGAAATATAAACAACTTATGGCCTCCAGATTCGAGAATTTTACCCGCGTGGTTGGCCGCAACATTTGGCGTGCAGTAAAATAAAGACACGTCTGGCTTGTGATGTTTATTTTTGGCCATTTTCAGTGGGTAGAATTGCCCATGAGTTGCGTAATTTGCAGAAGCGGTTGCGTAATCTGCTAGAGCATCAAAATCGATATTTTCGACATTGGTCGATTTGAGTTTGTTGTCGGCATAATACTTCTTTAAAGCACCGCATTGTTTAAGAATAAAGGGATTTGCAGTCATTATGAAATACAACTTATCTAAGTCGTAATGCATGACAGTTTGGTGAAAGAACCCTTTTTCAATAGCTTGCTTAACATCGTGAATATAACCATCATTCGACTTCGAGCTTCTAGAAGTTTCTATTGTTATCGTTTCAGGAACTTTTCTCGGCACATTTTTCGGTTTTATGAAATTGGCTGTAATTCCGAAGCCGGCTTGAAGAGATTTCTTGTCACATTGTTTTTCGCTGAAAAGACCGTTTGGTAAAGCAACATTTTGACCGCTGGCACATACCAAAACATGCACGGGAAACTGATTCAAATCAAATTTTTCATTTAACGAACTTAAGTTGTTTTTGTTGAGTTTGAACCAGCATGAAAACTTGTTCGTAACTGATTCGTTAGGATAAAAAATGCCTCTGAATTCAACGTTGGTTACTATGGTAATGCCCAAAAGAAGGGCTATTTTCAGCAGCACAATTTGGGTCGTAGCAATTGGGTAAACGTTTTCAACTGAGTTGGGGTTTCGGATAGCGGAGAATTTTCCCCCAAGGAAGTTAGCCCCAAGTGAAAGCATGTCTTCGATGACGAAGTTCCATAAATAGATGCAATTCGTTCGAGAGAAGTCGGATCGTTTTTCAACCAAGACAACACGAGCACCTGGAAACCAAGCTCAATTTGATCAGTCTTTAACCTTTAACTATTGTTTCTAGATTAATTTGAACAATCCTTGCATCGAAACTGGGAAATTAAGATTGGTTAATATTTCAAATAATCGAAAAGTGCTTTGAAAAAGTTTGACTGCTAAAAAAATTCGGTAATTTATGCAATCTCAAATAAAATTTAACTTACCTAAGCAAGCACATTCGATGGCAGCCCTCAAGCCACAAGGCCCAGCCCCAATCACCACAACTTTCTTCAACCAGCATACGTTCTGCTTATCATACACTATGTTTTTCAGCTTATCATTCAGACATTTGGACACATTCGCAAAAGTTTTCGACTCTGCGAGCAGCTTCGAACCCAAATTTCGGAATGTTTTGGAACGACTCAAAGCCGCATCTACATCGCAAATTTTAGTCAGTTGTTTGAAAGTGAGTAAAATTTCTGCAAGTTCTGTAGAACTTGCAAATTGATTGAAAAGCTGCAAAACTGATTTTTGTTTCCTGATTTCCTTCCACGAAAAATGTTCACTCATGTTCGAAACTTCGTCAAATTGGTCCAAATTTTCATCCAAATTAAATGTTTCTTCAGGCTGCAAAGTCAGACTGTCATCTAATGAAGAAAACTCATTTTTCTTCGTTTCACCAGATGTGTTTGATTCAAGATGCTCACAACGAGCGTTTGATTTTTCGCTGCGTTCAGAATGTAAAGCACTGGTGTTTTCGTCCAAAAAACCATCAGAATTGACAGCCAATTTTTGCGGAGGCCTATAATATTTGTTTTTATTCACATGACCACTATTGTAACTGCTGAAACCTTCAGTAGAAACTGAAAAAGAAGCGGTGACGTCACGGTTTTCTGTTTTTCTAGACGTGAGTTGAAGAGGATAATTTTCGGACTGCGTTGATTCGTAGTTCTCGCCTGTCGGCGATTCTAGAATTCTCGGCGTCGCAAGTCGTGGAATGTTATACGAGAGCGATTTTAACTTCTCTAAGTTTCGCATAGAAGTGCAACTGCTTACAGACGAAAGCGTTATCTCTACCGGTTCACTGACAACATTGTTACGTTTGTGTTTCAGTCTAGGAGTTCTAGGTCTTTTAGTCTTTCGTCGGCTAGTTGAACGCGGGTCCAAGTGAGTGCCAGTTACGTGTGTTCTCTCTGTTTGGCTGAAGTCGCTGCCATGCTCTTGGTGTGCATTTTCGTTGGCTGATGATTTAGCCGAACCTGGTGGTGACTCGTAGCTCTTGGAGACAAAAACTTGTGCTCGACCTGATAAAAATAAACAAATTGATCTAATATCATAAATCAAATTAAAGCTCTGGCAGAAGTTCTATATATATTTTGCTCAAATAAAACACTTAATAAAAACAAAGAAAGTAAAACAAAACAAGTAAAAAATGGGAAGACTTAGTTATTTTTTGCGTAATTTACATGCTACTCAATTTATCGATATCTTCTGCTAGAAAAAAGGTGCAGCCTATGCACAAAAACGTGAAAATCTAACCCAACTTATTGTAAAAAAAATAAGAGAAAACTTCGACGAGAATTGAGTCAAAATAGTTAGGAAACTCAGCAAACTATTTAGAACCCCTCATCTTCGGCAAAAACAATGAACACACCTTGGAATATTTTGGTTCATGTAATAGATAAAAAGCCTAACTATGAAATCAGTTTTGGCTGTTGAAGACCTTTGCTTGCGATAAGTGATATTAAAAGCTATGCAAAAAATGTTAAAACAAAAACTCTAAAACAAGACTTTTATTTGCTTCACAGGAGACGTTTTTTTTTTGAATAGTTTAACATTAAAAATACGTAGTTTGACGTAATTGACGTAGCTTTACTAAATTAGCGTAGTTTTAAAAGTGTTAAAAGGTCGTCCTGATAAAGAAATCTGAAAAATTCGGAAAAACTGAACTAGCTAATAATTCGCTTAATGAAAAAAATCTGTTTTTTTTGTGATTAATGTTAGTTTTTCTATACTAATTATTATTGCGCCATGATAAAACAAAACAACGTATCGAATGAAATTATTGCAATAAAATATTTAACAGAAAACGATATCACCAAATTGATTTGAGGTTTTTGTAATGTTTTATCCATCATCTTTTTTGAACAGCCTGAAGATTTCAATGTTCGACTAATTGTTGTTTTCAGCTCTGACAAAAGCCCAAATATGCAAATCTACTCAAATTTCAGGTTTACTAATTTTTGTCTTTTTGAATCAAACCAACCTCCGGCCTTGAAAACGACCAAATAAAAGTCTTCCATCTCAATATCTAATTGTTCCAACTTTCGAAGAAAGTGACGGAATATTTGGGCTCGGGGTGGTTTTATTTCTTCAAACAAATATCGACCCTAGCCATTTTGACAAAGTTTATTTATATCAGTCAACAGGTATTGTTGTCTTGAGCTCAAAATAAAAAAAAAGATATTTTATCTGTGATTTTTTTTTGTAATCTTATGGGAATTTAAAAGACGACAATTTGGCCGATTAGGGATAATTATTTCATGCTATTAACGCATAAGCGGAGATTTAATCCGTCTTAGAAATCGTTCCAAACTGAGCTGAGGCATGCTATAGGGTCTATGTAACACTTTGCTATATGCTATATGTATCACTTTGTACTTAAAAAAACTTGCGACTTGATGATTTTCACAAACAAAATTCTGAAAAAAATTGATTTTTATAAGACCAACAGTACTACGTAGACATTAAAGCGCAGTCGGAACTTTCAGGGCTTGCCAGTCTTCAAACAAAATTTCAGAAAATTGAAATAAACTTTGTACTGTGCTTGCCAAGTTTAATTCATTATGATTACAAATATTCTTCAGCTTTGGTTGACATATTTTTACGGTGCAAAAATATCTCCATAAAAATAAGTTTTTCTTCAATTACGAGTAGATGTTAAATTGAAAATCCAACAAAAGAACAAAATTATTCTCCGGCCGCATGAGCATTCATTTTTGAAAAAATGTGTCGATTTTATATTTGACAATGCTCTGTTAATTATTCTTCAGAAAGAAAGAATTTAACACTATGTTTTTCAGCTTATCATTCAGACATTTGGACACATTCGCAAACGTTTTCGGCTCTGCGAGCAACTTTGAACCCAAATTTCGAAATGTTTTGGAACGACTGAAAGCCGCATCTCTATCGCAAATTTTAGTCAGTTGTTTGAAAGTGAGTAAAATTTATGCAAGTTCTGTAGAATTTGCAAATTGATTGAAAAGTTGCAAAACTGATTTTTGTTTCCTGATTTCCTGCCACGAAAAATGTTCACTCATGTTCGAAACTTCGTCAAATTGGTCCAAATTTTCATCCAAATTAAATGTTTCTTCAGGCTGCAAAGTCAGACTGTCATCTAATGAAGAAAAATCATTTTTCTTCGTTTCACCAGATGTGTTTGATTCAAGATGCTCAAAACGAGCGTTGGATTTTTCGCTGCGTTCAGAATGTAAAGCACTGTTGTTTTCGTCCAAAAAACCATCAGAATTGACAGCCAATTTTTGCGGAGGCTTATAATTTTTATTTTTATTCACATGACCACTATTGTAACTGCTGAAACCTTCAGTAGAAACTGAAAAAGAAGCGGGGACGTCACGGTTTTCTGTTTTTTTTAGACGTGAGTTGAAGAAGATATTTTTTGGACTATGTTGATTCGTAAATTTCGCCTGTCGGCGATTCTAGAATTCTGGGCGTCGCAAGTCGTGGAATGTTATACGAGAGCGATTTCAACTTCTCTAAGTTTCGCATAGAAGTGCAACTGCTTACAGACGAAAGCGTTCTTTCTACCGGTTCACTGAAAACATTGTTACGTTTGTGTTTCAGTCTAGGAGTTCTAGGTCTTTTAGTCTTTCGTCGGCTAGTTGAACGCGGGTCCAAGTGAGTGCCAGTTAAGTGTGTTCTCTCTGTTTGGCTGAAGTCGCTGCCATGCTCTTGGTGTGCATTTTCGTTGGCTGATGATTTAGCCGAACCTGGTGGTGACTCGTAGCTCTTGGGGACAAAAACTTGCGCTCGACCTGATAAAAATAAATAAATTGATCAAATATCATAAAGCAAATTAAAGCTCTTGCAGAAGTTCTATGTAAATTTTGCTCATATAAAAACACTTAATAAAAATAAAAAAAAAGTAAAAAATGGGAAGACTTAGTTATTTTTTCCGTAATTTAAATGCTACTCAATTTATTGATTTCTTCTGCAAGAAAAAAGATGCGGTCTATGCCCAAAAACGTGAAGATCTAACCCAACTTATTTTTTTTAAAAAATAAGAGAAAACTTCGAGGAGAATTGAGTCAAAATAGTTAGGAAACTCAGCAAACTATTTAGAACCCCTCATCTTTGGCAAAAACAATGAACACACCTTGGAATATTTTGGTTCATGTAATAGGTAAAAAGCCTAACTATGAAATCAGTTTTGGCTGTTGAAGAACTTTGCTTGCGATAAGTGATATTAAAAGCTATGCAAAAAATGTTAAAACAAAAACTCTAAAACAAGACTTTTATTTGCTTCACAGGAGACGTTTTATTTTTGAATAGTTTAACATTAAAAATACGTAGTTTGACGTAATTGACGTAGCTTTACTAAATTAGCGTAGTTTTAAAAGTGTTAAAAGGTCGTCCTGATAAAGAAATCTGAAAAATTCGGAAAAACTGAACTAGCTAATAATTCGCTTAAAGAAAAAAATCTTTTTTTTTTGTGATTAATGTTAGTTTTTCTATACTAATTATTATTGCGCCATGATAAAACAAAACAACTTATTGAATGAAATTATTGCAATAAAATATTTAACAGAAAACGAAATCACCAAATTGATTTGAGGTTTTTGTAATGTTTTATCCATCATCTTTTTTGAACAACCTGAAGATTTCAATGTTCGACTAATTGTTGTTTTCAGCTCTGACAAAAACCCAAATATGCAAATCTATTCAAATTTCAGGTTTTACTAATTTTTGTCTTTTTAAATCAAACCAGCCTCCGGCCTTGAAAACGACCAAATAAAAGTCTTCCATCTCAATATCTAATTGTTCCAACTTTCGAAGAAAGTGACGGAATATTTCGGCTCGGGGTGGTTTTATTTCTTCAAACAAATATCGACCCTAGCCATTTTGACAAGGTTTATTTATATCAGTCAACAGGTATTGTTGTCTTGAGCTCAAAATATAAAAAAAGATATTTCATCTGTGATTTATTTGTAATCTTATGGGAATTTAAAAGATGACAGTTTGGCCGATTAGGGATAAATATTTCGTGCTATTAACGCATAAGCGGAGATTTAATCCGTCTTAGAAATCGATCCAAACTGAGCTGAGGCATGCTATAGGGTCTATGGAACACTTTGCTATATGCTATATGTATCACTTTGTACTAAACAAAACTTGCGACTTGATGATTTTCACAAACAAAATTCTGAAAAAAATTGATTTTTATAAGACCAACAGTACTACGTGGACATTAAAGCGCAGTCCAGTCGGAACTTTCAGGGCTTGCCAGTCTTCAAACAAAATTTCAGAAAATTGAAATAAACTTTCTACTGTGCTTGCCAAGTTTTTTTCATTATGATTAAAAATATTCTTCAGCTTTGGTTGACATATTTTTACGGTGCAAAAATATCTCCATAGAAATAAGTTTTTCTTCAATTACGAGTAGATGTTAAATTGAAAATCCAACAAAAGAACAAAATTATTCTCCGGCCGCATGAGCATTCATTTTTGAAAAAATGTGTCGATTTTATATTTGACAATGCTCTGTTAAATATTCTTCAGAAAGAAAGATTTTAACAATTGTTTATCTACGTTACCACACAGACTCGCCAAAGAAAGTTGAAAAAAAATTTTCCACTCTTGAACCAATCAAGGATTTAAAAACGTTTAAAGTGTGTTTCAGTAATTGAAACAAAGCTAAGAGGTTGAATTTCATTTCAAATAATGGTAGAGCGAGCAAGCAAGACAATTTGCAACAAGTTCACTTTACTCAAATACCTTAGTTAAATTATTTTAGTTTGATTTTTAGATTTGTTAAAAATATATTGTTCCCACTTTCGAACAAAATGAGGAAAATATATGCCCGGGGTGTTTTTTTATTCAGACCAATTTTATAGACATCTACTGCCTGCGTATGAGTATCGATCCGGTAATATTGTGATTGCCAAGCGAACAAGCGAGTATGCCTGCACTTGACTACTGGGCTGATTTACTGATGGGTTAAAGTTTTTATACTGTGTTTCAATACGCGAATTATTTATTATTGGCAAATTATCCGCACTCGTAATAGTTCAAAAATGATTGAGGCAATTTAATTGGTAGTATTAATTTTAGCACATTGACATCATCAGCCTAAAAATAGTAGTTTGTCAATATTTCATACACTAAAAACGATTCGAGACCACTATGGGCAGTCGAAACACTCAAGGCTTTACCCTGATACGAGCAGTCTTGTTAACTCTTGTTTGGACTTGAGTTTGCACTTCTTTCCGTCTCCCCAAACTTTACGTCTCTCCACGAGAAAAAAAATACAAAAGATGCTTTGTTTATTCTAACTTGTTTTAATTTTTTTCCGACTTTCGATACGAAAGTAACGGAATATTTGTGCTCGGGGTGGGTTTTTTTTTCTTCAGACAAATTTCGACTTTTAACTAGCCAATTTTGACGGAACTTTTAAATTATTCGAAAGTATTGTTCTCCTGAGCTCAAATTTGAAAAAATATTTCACCTGTGATCAGTTTTCATAAAGTTACGGGGTTTTAAAGATTACCATTTTGGCCAATTTGGGACAATTAACGCGCGATATTTTTCGCGTTATTAACGCGTAAGCGGAGAGTTAATCCGTCATAGAAATCTATTCAAATTGGTTGAAAGAACCTTATTTGCCATAATTGATTTGTTTCAAGGAGCGAATTCTATCCTTTTGTACTTTGTATGGCGTGTGGGGTGATGATTTTCATTAAAAAATTTCAAATTTCAGAATTTTTTTTTTCATTTTGTTTTGTTTCATTTAATTTTTGAATGTCATTACTGCTCCATAAACCTTAAAAGGCAGTCGGATACAAGCAGTCTTTTTCAATTTAATGCTTTTTGCTTGACACAGCAAAAGAAAATTCCTAATTTCAACTTTTAGTTCAGGATCCATGATAGATCGGCAGATAAAGTTCTAATGCTTAAGCGTTTTTTTTCGGCCTGATAAAAAAGTATGAATTGACATAAGAAACATAAGAAGCAAGCTGAAAACGTGTTGGTTTTCGTTATTTCCGTCTTTTTGCTTTTCTGTTATCTCGCCAAAAGTTAAAAAAGTAATGCACCAACTAACTTGAAATGTTTGTTGCCAATTTAAATTTTTTTAGAATAATTTGTAAAAGTGATACTCACCGCAAAAATGACAAAATAAGGATAGCAAGAAACAACAGTATTTTTATGTATGAAATACAACCAACTATTGTTTCTTACTATCTTTATTATGTGAATTTTGATCTCTGTATCACATACTATTGCCTTTAAATATCTGATTTAACCATATGTTTTCAAAACAGATGGCGCATTACTTTTTAAATTCAGGGAGAGAACAGAATAGCAAAAAGATGGATTTAGCAGAAATCAACAATTTTCAAATTTGCTGGTAAAATTTTTTTGTCATATCTTTTCATATCTCAATAGATCTGGATAGTCTCTGAGCATCCCTTTCTATCAGGGATTTTACACCAAATCTTAAAAATAGGAATAGTCGTTTGCTGTGCAAGTAGCACAAACTATTGCAACTACGGGCATTTTTGCAAACAAGACTGAAAACTAAACAAATTTTAATTCCCAAATTTAAAATATTTTGTTGGAGCAATCTTTGTCAATTTTCATTTGCAGAGAAAAGTGTGAGACGAAAGCTGAGCTGCCGAAAAAATGAGCAAAATGTTTTTAGAATCGCAATCAAAAGAGCTTGAATATAATTCCAAATTTTACCCTCCAAGTTTTCATAACACTACCTGACATTCGGCAGAAAAAATCCTTCTACGTCTTCGCCCTGAATGAGTAGCCGAAAGAACAAAATGCAAAAATCATGTTGAGGCGAAAAAAAAGAATGAAAATAAGCTGCGCTTACAACCGGTTGGTCATAATTGCTTCGATAAGCTAGTTCCAATTCATAAGGCAGCCCAACCTGTTATTGCGGGAAGTTGTTTGAGGATGCGGTTGATGCGGTCGTGCAGCTCAGCTAAAGACTCCTTTGAGTACTGGTCATCATCACCCGGGTCCACTCCCCCCTGAGTGTCGCCACTTTTGCTGGTCGGCATCAGAATCGGATCAACCCGCCTATCCTTGCGCACATGAGCCCTCTCCTTTTTCTAAAGCTGTAAAAAAAGCCATTTCAAAAATTGTACTTTCAGTTCACAGCCGGCACTCTATGAAAAGTAAGGCTTTGTAGTTATGGGTAATCAAGCTCAAAATGTGAAAATATGAGTAATTTTTTAAAAATCTTTTCAAGTCTTGATGATTTGAAGCAGGAACAAACCCGATTAAAAATTTTATAAGTCTCCATTTCACAGTCCCTTTATAAAAAATTCATTGAAGTTATGGGTAATCCAGTTCAAAAGGTGCATAATTTTTCTTTTTCATCTCAAGGTTTGATTTGAATCGTTTTTCTTCGTAATTGATTTTTCTGCAATCATTGCATTTGAAACCTAATCTCGAACTGGCTAATTAATAAAGAAGGAAAATAAATATAGATGACATAATAATGTAACAATTTTTGTTTTCATGATAAAATGAGACACTTACTTATTCAAAATTTGAAATTTCATGGCAGAAATTACAGTTAATTTTGGTTACTCTGGCTGTTTCTTAGTCATATTTATGTTTTGTCCAAACTTGGTCTTGATAGCAGTTTAGATTATTTCATTACTTACCTTGAGTGACTGACTTATAATGGCGAGAGGTGAAATCGGTTAGCAATTTTTTTTCCAAGAAACCGTCTCTTTAATATACTAACTGGCTATTTAAAGGAGGAAAACTGTAAA